CCCTCACCTATACTCACTCACAATATGCTTTCCTATGTACATACGTGTGTGAATATATGTGTGTGTGTGTCTATGTGTGTGTCTGCTTGTGGTGGTAGTCGGACAAGCTGCACCCCTTCCTCAAGGACTGCCTCAAGGTTGGCTGTCTCAAGGTACGTACAGAGGGAGAGGCAGAGGGAGAGGGAGAGGGAGAGGGAGAGGGAGAGGCAGATGGAGAGGCAGAGGCAGATGGAGAGGCAGAGGCGGTGGTGTGGGTATGGGTATGGGTATCGGAATCGGCATCGGCATCGGCATCGGCATCGGCATCGGCATCGGTATCAGTATTAGTATCGGCATCAGTATCGGCATCGGCATCGGCATCGGCATCGGTATCAGTATTAGTATCGGCATCAGTATCGGCATCGGCATCGGCATCGGCATCGGTATCAGTATTAGTATCGGCATCAGTATCGGCATCGGCATCGGTATCGGTATCAGTATTTGTATCGGCATCGGCATTGGCATCGGCATCGGCATCGGTATCGGTGTCGGCACCACCTCCGTCACCACCCACTAGGGCGTACATGTCGGTAGCAAGCCCACCTTCACTCACATCTCTCTCTCTCTCTTTCCTCAGGGATTCAAGCACTTCTCGCTCTACCTCCGCGGCCGTGAGGAGCTGGTGGTTACGGTCCAGAACGGCAACGAGCCGCACAACACGGCAGCTGGCACGCCGGCGGCGTCGCTGGCACGGACTGACTCGGGCAACATCCTCGACATGCCACCGGCGTCACCGCTGCCGTCGACACCAGGCTCAGCGCTCGGCAAGCCGGTCACCGTCTATCTCATCGGCGGCTATGCGCGGTACAAGTGCCCGTTTGTCTGGCTCCGCTCGCCATCGCAGCGTCTGGTCTCGTCCGACATGGAGTCGCCGCTCAAGCTCTCCACAACCGACCGCTGGCCCAAGGCGCCGTCGAGCGTCAAGGTGTGGGACATCATTGCCGAGCTCGTGGACATGACCACCCGCCCGGTCCCGGTCAACCCGTTTGAGATCGACGAGGAGTACTTTCTTTCGCTCGACCCCTTTGACCGCTGCCTCGCCACCGCCGCCTCGGTCAACTTTCTCCGCAAGCTCTTCATTGCCAACTACGTCTTTGCCGACGCTGTCCTCGAGGACCTGCGCGTACTGCTCCAGTGGCACTTTGAGGATGTGCCGGCTGTCATCCCGGTCAGAGCTCGGACCGACGCCGACGATGCCGAAGCCGACACGCCGTAGCGTTGCGCTCTTCCCTTTCAATACACTCCCTACAGCCCAAGCGCCTGCTCCTCTTCGTACAGCTCGCGGAGGAGCGCTTGTCGCCGCCGGGAGACCTGCGAGCGGTACGCCCGCGGCGGCGAGGCGGCGGTCGATGGACGCAGCGCACCGGCCGGAACGTGGACCTCGGTCGCGCTCGGCTCGCCCATGGTTACGTACGCCACCGTGACGTCGGCGTCGTCCACGGCCTCGCCGGTCGGAACCAGCGACATTCGCAGGCCAGACGACGTCGTCGGCCGCACCCGAAACGCGCGCCGCTCGTACTGGACCGGCGTCGGGAACGTCGGCGCCGATGGCGGCGCCCGCATCGTTCGCAGCGCCTGGCGTCGACCGGCAAGCGACATCGGCGACGCCCGCGCCTCCGAATCGACCAGCCATGCTGGCGCCACGCCACGGACAGGCGAGCCTATCGGGCGCGCCTGGCCAGCGGCGTACGCGTCCTCGGCCGCCGGCGTCAGCATGTGCGACGCGGCCATGACCGCCTCGCGCCGCGCCTGCTCCTCCTCCTGAATCAGCGCCCGCTTCACGCTCAGCCGCGCCTCGATTGTCTTGTTCTCCGCAAACAGCCGGTCAAAGACCTTTTGCGTTGTGCGCAGCAGCGCAGCCCGCGCCTCTTCCGACATTGCCACCTCGCCCTCGATCGTTGCCGCCATCTCACGCGACGCCTCGGCAATCACCGCCTCGGGCATAGCCGCAGGCACCCACACCGGGCCCTCGGCCTCACGTAGCGCAGCCTCCGCCGCCGGCGCCGCAAACGACACACTACGGGTTGGTGGCGTTTCGGCCGGCGGCGACGCGGCGGAAGCAGCCGGCGGTGGCGTACTGGACGGCACAGAGGCGGCAGCAGGTGGTGACGGCGCGTTGGCGGCAGGAGGAGGTGGCGGCGACGTAGTGGCAGCGACCGGCGGTGGCGTACTGGGCGGCGCGGTGGCGGCAGCAGGTGGTGGCGAGGTGGCAGCAGAAAGTGGAGGCGACGACACTTCAGCGCTCGGCGGCGACACCTCAGCGGCGTCGGCCTGAGCCGGAACATTTCGGACGATGACCCGGACCTTGCCTTCGACGGCAACAGCAAGCTCGTCGGCCCGTTTGCGCTCGGCGGCGAGGTCTGCTTCGAGAGCGGCGATGCGCGATGCGTTGTCAGCAGCTGCAGCTGTCGCGGTGTCGTAGGCTTCGCGGAGGGCAGCTGTCTGGGCGCGGGCGAGGTAGAGCTCCTCGCGGGCGTTGGAGGCGTCGGCAGCCGAGGCGCGTGCGGCGGCGGCGTGGATCTCCGAGTCGGCGCGAGCCTCAGCATCGGCGAGGCGGGCTTCGAGCTCGGCGTTGGCAGACGCGGCGATCACTAGCCGCTCGCGGAGATTGTGCATCTTGGCGACGATGGCGGCCGAGGCGTCGGCGTCGGCAGCCGAGGGTTGCGGCGGACCGGTAGCGAGGGCGGCTAGGCGGGCGATCTCGGCGCGGGCGGCGGTGAGTTGGCGGGCGGTGTTGGCGAGCGCATCCTCGGTGAGGAGTGCAGCGCGGGCGGCGTCGAGCTGCAGCGCGTCGGCGTGATCATTGGCATCGCGGAGCATGTCCTTCTGCAGATCGAGCTGGACGTTGAGCGCATCGAGCTTGTGCTGGGTGGCCATGGCTGAAGCTGTGGCATCGCCGACCTGCGAGTCGTATGTGGCGAGCCGGGCGTCGGCACGGGCCAGCTTGGCCTGGACCATGCGGATGGTATCAGTCTTCTCGGCGAGTTCGGCGGCATGGGCCGCGCGAGCCTTGCGGAACTCCTGGCGCATGTCTGCGAGCCGGATGCGGAACGACTCCTCGGCCTCGTCGAGGCGGGCGCGGGCGTCTGCTCCAGCGATGTGGACCTCGCCCTCGTAGTGCTCGCGGAGCGCCTTGAGCTCCTCAAAGTGGTTTGCGTCGTTGATCCGCAGCTGCTCGCGGAACCTAGCTTCGACCGTCTCGAGCTGGTCTGTCGTCGACGCGACTTGATCCCGCAAGTCGGCGATGGTATCCTCCAATTCGACGGCTTGCTGCTGGACAACCGCCGCGCACTCGGCCTCCATGGCCGCGCGCTCGCGGGCGAGCATGTTCGTCAGCTTGCGCTTCTCCATGAGATACACTTGCTGCACGTGCCGCTTTTCCTGAACGAGCTCGGCCCGCATGTCGTTGAGCACCTGCTGCTGGTCCTTGGACGTGATGCCGGTCGCCAGGAGCTTCTCAAACGTCTCCATGTCCATGAACGAGCCATGTGACTTGGGCGCATACGACTCGTCGCCCGTCGCCCGTAGCAGCTGATCGCGGAGGACGGCCACGTCCTTGAGGTACGCCTTACGCTGGTCAGCAAGGAGCTTGTTCCGTCGCAGCAGATGGCCCTGCAGCACGTCGATCTCTCGCAGCAGCTCGCGGTTCTCGGCCTGTGCCGACTCGAGCGACGCTGCCATTGCACCGACGTCCTCCATACGCATCCCAGCCTCACCGGGGCCACCACGCTCACTCTCGCCACTGTCGCCGCTCGTGCCAGCATGCTCAGCGTCGCCGTCATGCACGTCGGCGCTGCTGCGGCCGCCCGCGCCAGTGGAGGCAAGCACGGCTGAGACCTCGGCGGCGTTGCGATCGTACCATGACCCGCCGGTCGACTCGGCCTCGACAGACTTGGCAGCTGTGGAGACAAAGCCGGCGCGGACAACGTCTTCCACAAAGTTGTCGAGAATGATGTTGATTCTGGCGAGGAGGCGATCCTCGGCGGCGGCCGACCGGAGGCGATGGGCTCTCAGTGGCGGCGGATCGCTTGCGGAGAGCGGCCCATCCACCGGAGCGCCTGCCGCAGGCACGGCATCCATCGATGATGCGAGCGAGGCTGTGCGGGCGTAACGATCGGCGACGACGTCGGCAACCGAGTCGGGCAGGCGAGCGAGGGCTGAGGCGACTCGAGCACGTTCGGTGGCGGAGATAGCCGACGTTGCAGCGGCTGCAAACGCTGCTGCGAGCTCGCCCTTGACGGCATGAAGCCTCTGCTCAAGAAGCGCCGGCGCCGGCGGCACCTGCTGGCCTGACAAACGCTTTGCTGCCGCTTGGCGGGACATGGTTGCGCGGCGAGTGCGGTGTCACTCCTCCTGCAACGGCTGCTGACACCAGTACATAGCGTGGGCGCCAATTGAATCTCGTTGGCATAATCGTTACCGCCACACCCAATTAACTCTCGTTGGCATATTCGTTACCGCCACACCCAATTAACTCTCGTTGGCATAATCGTTACCGCCACACCCAATTAACTCTCGTTGGCATAGTCGTTACCGCCACACCCAATTAACTCTCGTTGGCATATTCGTCACCGCCACACCCAATTAACTCTCGTTGGCATAGTCGTTACCGCCACACCCAATTAACTCTCGTTGGCATATTCGTCACCGCCACACCCAATTAACTCTCGTTGGCATAGTCGTTACCGCCACACCCAATTAACTCTCGTTGGCATAGTCGTTACCGCCACACCCAATTAACTCTCGTTGGCATAGTCGTCACCGCCACACCCAATTAACTCTCGTTGGCATAGTCGTTACCGCCACACCCAATTAACTCTCGTTGGCATAGTCGTTACCGCCACACCCAATTAACTCTCGTTGGCATAGTCGTCACCGCCACACCCAATTAACTCTCGTTGGCATAGTCGTTACCAGGCCCTTCTCCAACCGCCTCCCCCTCCCAACCGCCACCCGCCCCAACACCGCACGCAGCTGCAGAGATGGACCCGCTGTCACTGTCGAACCTGGACTCACCAGGAGCAGGAGCCGCGGGCGGGCAAAAGGCTGGAGGCCGTCTGGAAGCAGGTGGAGGTGGTGGGCAGGGGGGGATAGGCGGCGAGGCAGTGGCCGGTGGTCAGCTGGCGGCGTCGGTGGCAGCCATTGCTGCCGATGTGCGGATGCAATCGGCGAGCGTGAACGATGAGCTAGCGCGGGTCAAAGGCGAGGTCCAGGCACGGTTTGATCTTCTGACGGCGATGATTGCAGACGTGGCGGCGAGCGCGCCGCACTCGGCATCGATGCCGCTCCAGTCACCCGCGGCTACAGCTTCACCGCCGACCCATCACCCGCGGATCCGCGACGACGTCCGCCGGGTGGCCCAAGTCGAGGGCGCGCTTGCAGTCTTCCAGACCGAGGTCCTGGAGGTTCTCGCCGCGTCGCAGGCCGAGGTTGAGGGCCTGGTCGCCAAGATGGCAGGAATCGAGGCCCGCGTCGGTTCCGAGGAGGAGCTTGTCCGCGCCGCCGAGGCCTTTGTGGCTGCCGATGGCGAGGCTGTGGCACGGGCAGTGCGCGAGGCGAGCAGCGCCACGGCGGCGACCGACGCTCGGGTCGATCGGCTCGCCGCCAAGTGTGAGGAGCTTTACACCGGCTTTCGGGTTCTCGAGTCGAACGCGGTGGCCAAGTTTGCTGAGACCGACGACGAGGTGGCCGATCTCGGGTCGCAGCTCCGCTCGCTTCGCGAGCACGTCGACGCCGCTGTGGGCGACTCACATGCTGCAATCCGCGTCGAGCTTGACGCTGAGCGCGCCGCCCGCCGCAACCTCGAGACGCTCGTCGCCTCGCTCCGCGACGAGCTCTATTCAGCGCGCGCCTCGTTCGAGTCGCTTGCGAGCCAGGTCGGCGCCCTCGCCGACTCGGCTGCCTTTGCCGAGTCGTCAGTCACTCGCGCAGAGCTGGACTCTGCCCTTGCCGGCCTCCGGGCAGAGGCTAAGCCCGCAGAAGCGGCGCTCAGCGAGCTCGCCGCCATCCGGGCCTCCATCGACGAGCTCACCACCCGGGTCTCGCGCAACACCCATGTCTCTGTAGCCAACGACATTGCCTTCCGCGCCCTTAAGGACAAGCTCGGCGGAGTTGTCGGCGTCTTTGAGGCCCAGCTCGCGCGCGACTACGAGGACGATGTCGTCGTCGGCGCCGAGATCGACAAGTTCCTCGCCTCGGTCAAGCGCTCGTAGCCACCCAACTCAATCCTTAACGGTACGGTCGTTCGGACGCGTTGTCTCGCGTCTCAAAGTGAACAACTCGTTGATGCTTGACTTTCAGGTCACCGGCCGACGCTGCGCGACACCTGCTTGGACCGCGGCTTGAGGTGGGAGGCGCACCCGATGCGTGGCTCGCACGTGGGGCCTGCCGCCCGACGCTCGTCCCGGCGACGCCCTTGTGTGCAACGTGGGCGACGACCTCGCTGTTGTCGCGTGAAAGGACTTGACCGAGTGCCGTTTCCTGGCAACCTGCTCTCATCCTCCAGACTCAACGACGTTGTCGTTGCTCACCGAGACGACAGCGCCCTCGCCGCCAGCGCCGACGCCGTCAGCTCCGCGCCGTCGCGCAAGCGGAAGCATCCCTCTGCGCCGGCATTCTCGCCAAGAAAGCGCACCGCTGCAGCAGCTGCTCGTCATCATTACCACTCTCCCCAGCAAGCCGCTCTGCGATGCGACTGCCTCGCCTGCCCGAAACTCCATGGTAAGCGATCGCGGCCGCGGACCTTTTGCGCCGCGTGCGGCGTCCATCTCTGCCTCGCCGACTGTTTTCTGTTGTGGCAGCCATCAACACATTGTACTACTCTTACACCGCGATTGATGGGCGTTGCGACGTCTGTGGAGCGTCGCGGAGCGCGGCTTGCGCGATGGACAAACATGTCCATTCTGTACCGTAAAGGGATAAAGTGTCGCGGCTCGTCGTGCTCATAGATACCTTCCCAGCGACTCTCAACCCATCGACCGAGTCGTCCCATGTAATCGATCCGTCTCTCCAATCAATCAATCAATCAATCAAGCCAAATAACCAAGCGAGAGCCCCGAAAGCAACCAAAGCCGACAACACCTCTCCATTTCCATTAACAATGTACGCCAGCCGTTGCCGCTCTTTCCAGGGGGGATCGCACCACACCCGCACCCGGAGCGACCTGCTGCTCCTGGGAGACGCGCCCCCTCCCCACGCGCCCCCCCCCCCCACTACTGGCATACTCGCCATGTCCAGCACACACTCTCCCACCCCCTTGTTCTCCCCTCCATGCCCTTCTGCGCTCTACATGCCGCCGTTCCGAGAACGTTCCTGGCGCCAAAAAATTCTGCGCTGTCCGCCCCTCGGCTCGCTCTCCCCTCCCTCTTTTGGCTGCCTCGGCCATCTACGTCTGCTTGCCGCTAGAGCGCAGCTTGCTCCCTCCTCCCTCCCCCCCCCACGACCACCCCCCCACTTGTTTCCCCTTGTCGTGTACCTGCCCCTCCCCGCTGCTGATTCTGG